AACAAATGATCATGAGCAAAGTCTAGTATTTCTCATTTGGCTGACATACACTCCAGAAGATTTTCCACAAAAATTACTCCTTTCTGCATAGAACAGTAACCCTACCTTACCCCCAAAAAACAAGTACATTTGTATTCCTAACTTGGCAAAAACATTGTGAAAACAGACTTCTTTTCATGCAATTTTCTAGCTCTTTCTAAAAAACAACGACCCTTTTTACCAATCCATGAACAATTTACATACTTTATAATGTAACAACCGTATACATGCTTTTGAAAATGTAATCTTTTAATGCGTATGATTCAGTCTCTTGACTGCTAATATTTGTTTAAATTTTTTTTCAGACTGTCGCTTTTACTCAAATAAACCATTCAATTAAATCACTACAAAATTCAATTTTCATGAACAATCTCTAATTTTTTTGGGGTGAACTTTTAAAACTACATGTATCATTCATAAACAAAGTCAATTAGAAGTGAAGTCACCAGGATATCAAGACACATGAATATTCAATTATTGAAATCTATCCTGTAAACTAACGCACTACAGTTAAAAACTAAATTATTCATACCATTACCAAGTTTTGTAAAAAAAAATTAGTTTGAACAAAATTTAAGTGCATGAAAAATGATTTGCCCCAATTTATGTTTATTGGAATATGACATATATCAAAGCTTACATCTAAAAGTGTCCAACAAAGGCCCTAATTCATCCAGTCCACCTTTTTATTCTCAAATTCAAATATACACACAAATTAAGAAATTTACTTGTTAACGGTATTATACATTATTAAAGAGAAAGTTGCTTTTCAATTTGATTTTATGTTAAATTGGAGTGTGACATAATGTCCCCTAAAAAAATATGGCTCTTCAAATGCCCTCATATTCAAAACATGACAAGTAACAGCTTTAAAGGTTGTGGACTACACTTTCATGCCACACGTTTGTGTAGTCCCACACACATTTCTCTATACACTGCGTACGTCTGTTAGCAAGACTGGGCCAATTATTTGTCCTTTTGATGATTCCAAAACCTCACCGTACACATCAATACTTGGGTGCTACATGATCAATCGCTTCGACACCCTTTCTTTGGCAATGCAATCGCATCGAGTCTAGAACTGACACCTTTATCTTTAACTGGGTTACGGATACTGTGTTGGATGTACTCTGGAACCTTGTTATAACAAGGTCCTTGGGAACATAGAAATCACGTTGCTATGCATGTATCAAGATAAGAAAACAAAAGAATATAAAGAGCTGGGGCCAGCGCAATCACCTTGTTTACATAACAGAGCCCTTTATAATGTGCTTCCACTGTGATATACATGTACTTGTAACACAATGCATAAGTATTCATCCCCTTTTGTGCTAGAGAAAGAAAATTATTTGACATTTTAAATTGTTGATAATGCAGGCACTTGTGGGAGATGCATGTGGCTGGAAGCAGCAATACAATGGTTTACAGTTCACTTGACTGTACTTTGGCACATTCACAATAAAACTGTACGCACAATAATGTCCCCTTTTTTTTTGCATAAAAATGGGTACAAAATAGGCTGTAAATAAATAATTGCTTATCAAGTAAACATTTACAACAACAACAACAAAAAAGCACCTATTTTGGCTTTAACTGGTTCATACACTCTCACACATTTGCAAAGACCCATTTTGGTGCAATTGTCTTGGTCTTTCAATTAAACAAACCGCTTGTCTTTTTGGCTTATCGAGTCAACATTTACAAAAAAGAACCAATTTTGCCGTAAACAGTTAATAAACATTAACATGTTTGCAAACATTATGTAAATATGATATTTCTCGTTCAATTTTTCTTTAAAAAGATATCATTAAGACAAATCCACAAACAATTCAATATTCACTGTCAATATTCACACATTCAATGTCCCCTACAATAAGCCTTTTTTCCCCCACAAATTTCTATCTATCATGCGCAAAGTTAATATGAAGTGAAACCATCAGAATTTCAAGACACATACATATTCAATAATGGAACTATGTTCCGCAAACTAATTCATTGTAATATAAAAAGATGCATGGATGTTCAATGTACATGTATCTGTTCAGAGCCAGAAGTATATTAATTAATTAACACCCTTCTGGCTCCAAACAGTGTAAGTAATCTACTACAATCATTATTTGACACTTTTGATATTTAATGACCCAGGCACTTTCGGTTGGAAGCCAATTTTACTGTACACTTTCACATCATCACATTGCATGCGAGACAAATTTCTTATGTTAAACATAATATAAATATCTAGTCACCGGTACTTTTTTTCAATAGATTAACGATATATAACATCTTCTGTACAGACTGCAAATTGTAGAAGGTACTTCAAGGAAGTATAATATGCTACGTTTTAGTATTCTCAGAAAAACAATATACTGTGAATTTGGAACAATGGAAGTAGTATTAATGCTTGCTGTAGTTAAATGCATCTGAGCAGCAGTGGACCAATTTAATTGGCGTACTACTGGAAACTATCCATACAGGAACTGCTGGTGTGACCAGCTGTCAATTAAAAATCATCTGGTTATACTGGCTACTGTTTGCAATTGCACAATATATACAAAAATACCAATAAAAAAAATTACACACACACAAAATAAATAAATAAATAAATTAAACAAAATATAAAATCCAGAACATATTTTTTGTTAGTACCTTTTGTGCCACCCAGCAATGGTTGCAACATGTTGGTTACAAAAATGGTGGAGTTCTGGTTTAAACCAAAAAATACAATGTGAGCTTTCTCACTCAGTATTCCTTTGTGGAAGACTATCATTAAAGCAATGTCTCATAAAAAGGAGCGCTCTAGAGATCCCGTTATATTTGAAATATGACGAGAAACAGTTTTACTATTTGAATCAAATTTTGATGCTACATGCGTGTGTGTGTCGTCCCACATATCCATATACCGGTACATGTGCAGTTCACTGCATGAGACTGAATCAAGATTAAACAACTTTGTTTCTTCATCATTTCAATGAATTTAATACCTCGCAACAACACAATAAACATAAAATCTTAAAGTGTGACTATCGTCACTATCCCCTACAAAAATAATGTATGCATAGCTGAAATGTAAATGTATAAAATCAACCTCGAAAAACGTTACCTGGCATTATATAAGTTAATGGTAAAGTAGTAAGAAAAAAACAATAATATCATTAATTAATTGTTGCAATAAATTCTATTGCATCTGAAAATAATATACATGGGCATATTAAAACTTAGTCAAAGATTTGAAAAATAATTGCCACTTTTGAATAAAAAATCAATGATTTTGAACCGCTCAATGTGTTGCTGATTTAAGGATTTTAAGGATTATCTTCTTTATTTATATTTCTGGAATCAAATGCAATGTGGTCAGTGAGTTTTTGGATCCCTCCCCCCCCCCCCCCCCCCCCCCATTCTGCTGATTCATCTGGGCCTGTTGCATAAAACTTACCATTGATGGTAACTTTGCCATTAATGGCAACTACTATGGGAACAGGGCTCAACAGCCAATCAAAATCAAGGTTTTCATGGTAGTTACCATTGAACTGGTTGTTCACAACCAGCTCAGTTCATTTAAATCATCATTTCGAAGCCTGGGCTGAATTGCATGACAATTGACAATTAAAAACATAGTATATTTCTAATTTCACAATTGTTTCAAATAATACTACCGGTAGTAAAAAAACAATGTAATTAACAAAGACAATTAATTGTCATTGATACTTAGTTCACTTTCGAACAACAATTTACAATATTAGCAATAAGTATAATTCAATATATATATATACAGTATACAACAAAAGTATTCCTATTAATAATATTATGTAATTTGGTTTTGCTTCATTCGGTAGAAATTGGGTAAATAAGTTATTGATATGGTATTTTAGTGATTAATTGAACACAAAATAAACTTGCTGATACCTGTAACCAATCAATGCTTTGAAGAAAAAAATCTATTTGTTTAAAAACAACCACGAAAATAGGTATTTATGAACATTAACAAACAAAATCAGAGAGGTCTTCTAAAGGTATACTGAGTGATTTCAAGTTGGGTGTTTAAGGCTGGTGTTAGTGTTTAATAAACACTAACACCAGCCTAAACACCAAAATGGAAATCAGCTGGTGTTAAGGCTTTGACCTCTGAATATCGTCAACTTCCGGTAGCTAGTGTTATCGATTTTGCAAAATTGTCGTCTGCTAAATCGACCTTTGTGGCTGGTGTTAATATTTTACGTACAAATGTCCTATTCATTAACACTAGCCCCTAGGGATTAAGCAAATGTTGATTTCCAGTTCGGTGTTAGTGTTGTACCCGCACACATTCAACGCACAAACGACGCCAATTTATTGTCTGACGATCAAATAAAAATATGTGAAACACGTAATTCCTATATTCTTTCGTGTAAAATTAGTTATTTTCTAAGACCAGAGAAATAGGTGTAAATTTATTCTGTACTTTTCATGATATCTTTAGTTTTGATGTACTAATTTTAAATCATGGTCGTAAAATCAAGTATGTGGTGACGTCACGGCTGGTGTTAAACTATCGATTTTGATGTCGGTATCGGGCTCTTAATTTCATCAGCAAATTCTCCGCTCGATTTAAGAGCTCTTGACTGCTCTAAACACTAACACTAACACCAAACTTGAAATCACTCAATGTGTACAGTGTATACAGGTACATGTATAAAGGTAGATTAGCAAAATATAAAGGCATGGAAAGTATTGTCAGGAAAGCAAAAGGTGTAATAGTTGGTGTTGTTTGTGAATTAAAAGTTCTTTTTTGACATATCTGAATAAAAGTGGGTAAACATTAAACCTAATTGAGATAGTACATGTATTTACCAGCTCCATATCGTAACGATGGGCTTCTAACTGGATGTGATCAAATTACGTTATTCAACAATTCTACATTTTGCTAAGCTATCTAGGGAGTTGCCAATTTGCATTTTACTTTCTCATTATTTATCGAGTTGTCTTCAAACTTTCCCAGACATGTTTCTCTCATTTTTCAATGTCTACAATAATACAAAATCAGTGTGGTCTTTCCTTTTAAATGCTTCCATCTCCGAGCACATCTGCAGACTCCTTCAACATTCTCTGACACTGCTCTAGCATACTGTCCAAAGAAACATCGTAAGAGTTCTCCATTCCTTGAGGCATCTTAACCGTTGCATGGGATGAACTATCAATCCTCTCCATGTTTAGTCTCCTGGCAGCTCCTACATTCATCCTCTTCAAAGTATGCCATCCGTTTCTAGGTTTTTTTTCTGCTTCAATGACACCGGTGCTTTCATTTAACAAACCATGACACTGTTCTGGCATGTGGTCCAGAGAAACATGACCAGGGTTTCCAGGGGTCTCAATTTTTTGAGGAATCCTCACCGTTGCATGGGAAACACTACCTGGCTGCTTCCTTATGACTGATCTATTAGTTCCTGCGTTGATCCTCTTCGAAGTGACCCGTCTGTCCAGAGGTTGGTCTCCTTTTGCCACACCAGGGAAGCCATCAAACAATCCCTGATACTCTTTCAGCACTGTCTTGTCACTTTGCACATCACCTGAAACAAGTTAGAACATGAATGAAAATAATAAACACGATGAACATGACCAAATGTAGTTACTTTCCATTTGGAATAATCATATCCACTTTATCTGGTGTGTTGTACTTGTTAAAGCTTGGTTGAGTTTAAGAAATGTTGCTCATGGTCAACTTCTGTCAAATTCAAGCGTGGTTATATTGGGCTGTATGTCTTGATAGACAAGTGAGTTCATTTCATCACCATTTTGCAATGATATGTCTGAAGCACATTTATGTCTTTTTCATAAAATAAAAAAAATCATTGAAGTATGCAATACGTTTTCTTATGTTTCTGAGAACTGGTCAGTTTGGTTCCGTAGTAATAAATGAAGTAATAAATTATCTAGACAAAATGTCAAAGCACCACACCCTCTTTTCTGATTTTGTAAAATTAGCATTATACAGTCGAACCTGCTTTAGTGACCTCATTTTTTGTTAACCTTGAAAATGGTTTCTCATTGAAGCGTGTACTAAAGGAACCTGTCTACAAAGACCACCTGTCTATAAAGACCACTTTTTGTGTTTCCCTTGGGCGGTCGCTGTAGACAGGTTTGACTGTACATGTATATGAAAACTATTACAAGCATGTCATATCATCAGAGTCTTATAAGGTTCCTGTTGACGATAAGAAAAGCTGGACATAAACTACGGTATGGGATATCATACGCCAAAAAGTTGGAGTGAGGTGAAAGAGGCTTCCGATCACAGCTACATGTACATGTACCGTATGTCCCTGAAATGAAGCTGACTTTGCCTGTTTTTCCAAACGAGAAGGCATAGAAAATTATTAAAAGCAAGAAATTGCGATATATCTTCCACATCGGATTGCATTCATATTGTATATACATGTAGGGTAGTGTGTGGTGGGCTTTAATATTGGACCAGGTTTATAGTCCAGTCGGAGAGAACTGGGTTGCATCCTAAGGGGTAAATTGACTCAAGATATTATACAAGAATGTAGAAGGGTAAAAGTGGTAAGTGGTTACCTTTGGACCCTACGCACATCAGACGGCTAGACAACCTTTCCGGGTCACCAACATCCACCCTTGGCTTGCTGCTTGGAGATGCGCTCATCCCATGGTGGACACCTACAGACATGGATATATCACAGGAGTGGCTTCTGAAGTCTCCAGGAGAGGGAATACTGATCCTGCACACTGAGCAAAAGTAATCATTTCCTGCGATTGCCTCCTCTTGAGCTGTTAAGGGACGCATCAACCCTCCTGGAGCTGATACAATCTGGTCGCTGTCATCCACTCCTGCAGAATCTTGAACAACCACACCGCAGCTTGCAGAATGGCTGCCCAGGTCTGTAAGAGAGGATATATGAATCCCACACGTTGAGCAAAGGAAAGAGCTTTCTTCCATCGCCTTCACTCCGGCCGTCCACTCACACACCAACTCTCCAGGGACTGATCCAAGTTGATGTTTGTCATCCAGACCAGACAGATCTTTGAAGATCACACCACAGCATTCGCACAGAAGGGATCCTCCGTGTTTAATCATAGTGGATGTTTCATTCATCTGATCCGTTGAGGTCTTTGACCTCATCTTTACTGACTGTTCATGATTCCTGTCACTGGGTTGCAGATCATAGAGGGTGGAAGAGGTTACTGGTACAACTTTCTGGTTTGTTCCTGCATTATCTTCATCATCCAGAGAGATTCCACTGTTTCCTTCATGAACATCTGTTCTTAAATCATCAATCTGCCAGATCCTACGGTTCTCTTTTCGTTGATCACAGAACGGCTCTTCTAAGAATGAAATGTCTGTTTGCGTGGATTTCGCACACAATATTCCTTCACTGCTGTCATAGGATATTGCTCCCAGAGAATCAGAAGTTTCAGTTTGTGCCATCTTGACAGCAAGCTGGCTCTGGTCTGACATGTGCTTTTTTACAGTAGAAGAGAAGGCATCACTGGAGGTACACACGCTCTTTCCTACCATCTCCCGACAGATTCCACTCTTTCTACGTAGCCCATCGTCCTTGGGTTCATCAAGACCCTGGTCAGGTGTGGTCTTTGAACAGTACTGAGGTGACCTTTGAACTAGAAGCTGCAAGAGTTTTCCTGGAGCATCATTGGCCGAGACATTGTGGACTTGAGCTGCATGAAGGGAATACCCCATATATGTGGTAAATGCTTTCTGGCATCGAGGACATATAACTATCGTCATCTTCCTTGGGTCTAGAAGGTAAACTGTCCTTTCACTGCCACCAGACACCTCTTTTGTCCTCTTTTCAGGAACCTCTTTGTGATACCGAGGATCTCTTTCGGATGAACATTTCTGGCTTTTTGTTTCGTTAGGTCTTCCCCTGTTGTCTCTCTTCTCTGTATGCGCTAAACATTTCTCTTTGCTTGCTGAACTTTTGAAAGCCTGCTTTAGGTCTTGAACCGTGGTCACATTACTAGACTTGGTCTCTTGTCTTCCCACATGAACGTCCTTACGAGCAAAATCGCTAGAATCAATCAATGCTCTTTCTTGTGACTCCTTCCAGGGTTGTGGACTCACTTTGGGAGTACTTTTACGTGATCGTGGACTCTGTGATCTGATCCTTTTGGAACCAGCTAGGTATTTGCTTTCCCCTGTGGATGGTGCTCTACGGCAACCCATTGACCCACACTTACGGTCAGTCTCTTTTTCTAGGTTCTTTCCAAACTTTCTGTCCGGTGAAGGATCATTTCGGGAGTCAATATCACTTTCAGCTATTTTCATCTGCCTTCTCGGTCTTGGATGAAGCAAGTGGGCCACCCTTTCAATGCTGACAGGCTCCAATTTTCTTTTCTTTCGAGCAACCTCTTTGAAAGGTTCAGGATCTCTTTTGGATGAACTTGTGTGACTTTCTGTTCCCCCATGGTTTCTCTTCTGCTTACATGCTACACCTTTCTTCTTGCTTGCTGTGGTTGTTAGAGACTGCTTTTGGTCTTGAACTGAGGTCATATCACTCACATCACACTCATCTTCCATGACTTGACATCCTACATCCTTGGGAGTAAATGCACTAGAATCAATGGATCCACTTTCTTGTGACTCCTTCCAGGATCGTGGTTTCACTTTTGGAGTACCTTTGCAGGATCGTGGGCTCTTTGATCTTTGTCTTTTGGAACCAGCAAGGCATTTGCTTTCTACTGTGGTTGGAGTTCTTTCTAATTGTGTTGGGCCAGACTTGCGGTCAGTACTGGTCTCTCGGTTCTTTCCAGACTTTCCATTTGGGGCAACATTATTCTTGAGGTCAATATCACTTTCAGCCATTTTCATCTGCCTTGTCAATATTGAAGAATCTTCACTACTTGCACAACTGGAGCTTTTTCCGTGTGGTACCACACATGAAACTTTGACCGGCTGTTTCAGGTGTATACCCGGGGTGTTTCTAGAGCGAGAGCCAGAGACTCGGTGTTTAACCCTCATTCCTACTTTGTGTCGATCTAACACATGATTCACACACAAAGCATGAGATTTGTACACTGCACCACATGTAGAACATTTAAATTGCTTCTGCTCTTTTTGTTGTGGAGCCTTAAGCCCAATCGGTCCACTAGTCGTAGAGCTTACTGCCTTCGCAGAACTGTGCTTCCTTTTGCTTCTTGTCTTTGACACATGCGTATGACTGGGGCTTCCCCTAGGGGCACTGGTTTTCGATTTCTCTAAGACAACCCCCTTTTCTTGAAATGTTTTAGAGGGCGTACTATCTCTTTTGAAAGATGCTAATGGAGTATTACCCATGCTCGTTGAGATGACAACATTATTCAGGAAATTTCTGACGTTGCCCGAGGCTTCAATAAAGATCGCACCTTCACTGTTGAAACTGGCATTTGCTTTTCCTTGATGGCCTACATGTATAGAGGGTGTCCTTACTTTATTCAAAGATGTTACTGGACAAGTACTTGAGTTCGTTGAGAAAACAGCATCATTTAGCAAACTAGTTACATTACCCGAGGCTTCATTGTCTAAACTGGCGATGGTTGGTCCTTGAGGGCTTCTAGACGGTGACCTAACTCTCTTCAAAGATGTTAACTGATTCGTATTCTGGTTTGTGGAAACAAAGGTATCATTGAGCGAGCTTGATACATTGCCCGAAGCATCGAGTAAGATCGCACCTTCACTGTTGAAACTGGTATTTGCTTCTCCTTGATGGCCTTTAAACGGGATCCTACCTTCGCTCAGACATCCTAATGGAGAAGTACTCAGGCTTGTGGAGGAGATGACATCATTCAGTGAACTAGTTGTGCAGTCCGAGGCTTCACTGTATGAACTAGTAGCAGATTTTCCCTGCTGGCCTCTTAGGGATGGTGTTACATTGTTGAAGAACGTCAGCTGAGTGTCACTGAGGCTTGTGGACACAGCATCATTCAGGAAATTTGTTACGAGGCCCGATTCTTCAACAGAGGATGCGACTTGACTGTCAAAGGTGACATAGTCGCCCGTCCTTGTCTTCACCCTTCCGCTTCCAGAGCTATGTGGAGGTGTAGGACATTGGTGAGAGGCCAAAAAGGGGATTAATCCATCTAGAGTGATGGGTGCTATCTCCAAGTCCTCCTCGAACCCAGTTTGACTGCTGTCCACCAAACTGAAGTCTATCACGCTCCCTTCATGGTGAATATCTTCAAGGCCTAAACCGGAGGAGTAGATACTCTCATTGCAGGTGTCCAGCCCTAGGAGACTTAGGAAACTGTCCAGATCCGGAGACAGGCCCAGGATGTCGTGCCCCATGACTGAAGCCTCATGAAATTCTCCGTCCATGTCTCCTGCGAGGGATCAGACAGTCCCTTGGTGAACTCTTTTGGTTGCTGCACCAATCGCCGGTCAATATCCTTCCCACATCTTGTGGAGCGTCAATCTGTATATTAGAGCAAGAAATTAGCAAGAATTACTAGAAATACAGGCTGCATGCTATTGAATAAGTTTCAATACATGAAAATGTATGTAACACAAGTAAATAATGAAATACATGTATATACAGCGCTCAAAATACACGGGGTGGTGGGCGATTGGCCCCCGTGAGCTACATAATCGCCCCCGTCAGGTTGCTCACGGGAGCGATTGCAAAATTAAAAATCGCCCCCGTGGAAATATAAAATAAAGATGATCTTTTCTGTTATAACTTTAACACAATATTGAGTTTCAATTTACAAACCTTAACCCTAATAAGGCCAGGGGGGGGGGGGCAATTATGGCCCCCCCCCCCTCCACCATTTTTCCGATTGCTCGGGAACACATATGGATGGCGCCCCGGCGCTCGCTGACTTTTTTCTTTCGAGTCTTGTGCAACTTTTAAAAGATTTTTTTTGAAAATCGGACCTACGGTTACAAGGTCACGTGACCTTTTGTCTTTGCATGTCAGCCCGAAAATCGCTCAATTTCGTGATTTGTGTACAAAACATATTGAAAAGTCATTTTTCCTAAAAACAGATCAAACATGGGTTATTGGGTCTTGTTTAAAGTTGAGGTGGTTGTTTTGGGAGTCAAAATAGTTAAATTGAAGTAAGAAATAAAATAAAACAACAAAAACAATGAAATACATAAGAAATTATCAAAACAAATAACATAAGGAATAAGCTGGCTCTTCCAAATTTTTTTGTCGGATTATTATTTAGAATGGTCTTATGAATATATGTAGTGAAGAAGAATGCTTAAATATGAATAATATATGATTTATGGGTAAAAATGTGATTTTTATGACTTTATTTGCATAAATTACCATAAATATGCAAATGAGTAAATTTTTCAAAAAATTGAAATTATCATATTATTCTATACACTTCACTTGACATGCGTGCAAATTTTCGCGGCGATCGGCCGCTTTGCGGCCAAGATCTTAAGGGGGGGCCATAATGCCCCCCCCCCCCGGCCCTACTAAGACTTCAAATAGCCCGGCCTTTTTAGGGTTAAACCAATGAAATGGAACTATGCCTGGATTACATTTGCCCTGGGCGCCGTACGATAAAATTAGTCTATGATTTTTCGTAGATATCGTAGGAGGCTACGGGCTACGATGTTTGTGTTTACATTATCTACGAGCATCGTGCCATTTATTGTATTGGCCCTCGGTGGCAGGCCGAGGCAAATCCGTACAGAGGCTGCTCGGAGATTGTACGGAAATCGTGCAATTTGAATGCTCAATATCACGGATATTGCACGGGCAGCGAGCAACAACCTTGCGATAGCTGTGCAATGGCCGTGCGAATGCCCCACGAGTCTACAATCTCTGTACGATTTTTGTTTGTCCCCATGTTCACCGAAAAAATCGTACGTTTGCTGCACAATCAGTGCGAGGCCTCCAGGCGATGCCTGTGCGGGGATTGTGCAATGCCACCTACGACATGTATACGGACTACGGGCTTACATTTTTTCAAATTTGTTTAACTTCTCGCGAAACAAAATCGTAAGAAGTAAGATGTTAGTAGATGCCAGGAAAACAATACGGGGGTTCAAAATAGCAACAACAAAAAATCGCCTCGCCGCTTTGCAGCTCGTGGACGATGCTTCGCATGTAAGTAGATGCCAGGAAAACATCACTTACGGGGGTCCTAAATCAGGGGCGGATCCAGCCGGCGGCAAGAGGGGGGGGGGGGGCCAAATCTTGATAAAATATTTAGCGGCGAATCAGCCAGCCGGCGATCGGCGAATGAGCGGAGGGGGGGGGGGGGCTGGATAAATGCACATATATTTGTTTTAGGGGGGTCCAGTTTTTGGGGAACATTTTTGCACCGACTCAGCCGGCCGGTGAATATTAAAGCGGGGGGGGGGGGGGGGGGGGGGGGGGGATGCTGGGGAGGAGGACCACTAATTTTTTTTTTCAGGGGGGGGGGGAAGGGGCGTTTTAGCATGACTTTCTTTTTAACTCTTACTTTCACCCATCTCAGATAACCCTAAGTTTTTGGTTGCTGCTTTATATGTAGTTGATAATGCATGATTAAAATAAAGAGAGAGAGACCACCATCATTTTGCAATGGTTCAGGGTTTGTGAAATGTACATTTGAAACCATTTCTTAGCATGTCAACCCTAAAAAAATAGTGAAACTATTTTTGAGGAAAAGCATTATACTGAACTGAATAAAGAATAATAGCTTTATATTGGCTCATACTAATACTGATACAGGCTAAAGACAATGTGGTATTTGTATAGAGGTATTCCAAAATGACATTCTGATAATCAACATTTTGTTCTGGTATCATTATGTATATATGCATAATACAACTGATCTTTATGATTTCTTAACGTGACATAGCTTCTTTTTCCCCTGCAAACAAAAAAGAAAACAAGGTTATTTAATAAAAGGATCATGCGACAAATAATCATTGTGATTCAAATTGATGCAAGGATTTTTTTGAATAAGCAATGCTTTTCACCAGAATCTTCTTTGTAAAAACAACTTTTACAAATCTCAGCCATGCAATTCTGCCACTGTGTTGTAAGATCACTTTCAGATTAGGAGAAGTGTATTCTTTAATGAGTATTTTACATTGAATGGAACGTCTCAACTCAGTAAGCATGGCTGAGATTTGTAAAAGTTGTTTTTACAAAGAAGATTCGGGTGAATAGCGGTGCTTATTCAAATAAATATTCGCATAAATTTGAATCACAATCATTAATTGTCGCTTAATCCCTTTTAATGACCTTGTTTTCTTTCTCGTTTGCAAGGGGAGAAGAAGATATGTCACGTTAAAGACATCATAAAGATCAGTGTTGTATGCGTACACATTATATACACAGGCCCCGCGGAACGTTTATCAAAGTGGGGGGGCTAAAGTATTTACGATCAGGTAGAGGGTAGCGAGCATAAATTGGTGTGGGGGGGGGGGGGGGTCAGGGGTTTTAGGCATTTAATTACGGTCAGAGAAGCACAAATATTTTGATGCCACATTTGTGTCACTGGCAGGTCAGGGGGGCGGGCGTTTTTTATTTTATTTTTTAAGGTAAAATTCATGTTACTATCCTATTTTTTTACCGGTTTGGGAGGCTACGGAGGCACCTGTAGAAAATAGCACACACACAAAATCGCCTCGCCGCTATGCGGCTCAGTAAAGAAAGAATGTAAAGGTTGCTCCCAATAATGAGGAGGAAATAATGTGCAGAACGGGAAGACATCGAGAGAATGTCATCACGGGATGAAAGTCAGTAACAGCTACATGTATGTAGCTTGTAAATTTGTAAGAGGGAAAATGCTGATTAAAATGATAATGATGAAACAGCATATAATTGAGGAGTATCATAGGTAACAATTCAATGGATATTTGTATAAAAAAGAGCCCCCATCAGTACTAAAAGAGCCCCCGTGAGAAGGCTCACAAGGGCTCTTTTTGGGGGGAAGAGCCCCTGTGGACAAAAAATTAATTTGAGCCCTGTGTATATATCATGGGCTTCTATTACATCTGTCAATCATTTGGAACATGTACATGTAGTCAGTCATAGCACTTAAGCCAGAGGAAAAAAAACCTTTCTTCCTCTGTTAACACGATCTTAATAGACCATTTGAAATAAGCTACCTACTCCAGCTTAGCTGTTCATGTGGAAACTGGCTTCAATAAATTTGGAACATGTAGTCATAGCACTTACATGTACACCAGAGGAAAAAACTCCCTTTCTTCCCTTGTTAACACGATCTTAAAACGATTTGAAATAAGCTTGTACTCGAGCTTTATAGAGCATGTGGAAACAGGCTTCAATAGATTTTGTGTGTATTTATTTATATCAACGTGTTCGTGTGGTATCTGTGGTGTGCGTACATAGCAGGTAATAGCGCATACAACGGTGATATATGATAAAGGAAGAGACCAAAATAGACAAGGAAATCTAGTAGCACCTTCACGAGAACCAAGAAGTGAGAGGGAGAGTCAATGAAAATAAAGAATAATTCCTTTTCAATGTGCATAGTTGACATAAATATAATCCCTGTAAGATTGAGGAAGTAAAACAAAAAAAGTAGGTCAAACCATGGACTGAACGAGATTGGGTCTTAAAGCCCAAGTCCACCCCAAATTCCAAAAATGATAGCATGTTGTAAATAAATCAAAGGTTAAAACTGCCAAATATCACTGCAGTACTTCAATCACTTGATTTTTAAGAGTAATTTTTGCTTCGGTTATTTCAAGCAAAACATTTAAATTGCCGCACGGATGTGACGTATGCTTCTTACAGCGAAAGTGCCAGCAGTATACATTCTGACAATAGGCTATTTTTGTAATGTAACCAAATTTAATGCACATTCAGTGATTGAAGATTTTGAGCTTTACAAAAGCTTGGATTGTAATCATTATGGCCCTGTATACCGAATTATGATACTCATTTTTCAAAGTAAAGTTTTTACAAGAAAATCAGACAGTCAAAAAAAATTCTAAAAAATTGGATATGGGGCCCCTGAAATAGGAAAGTATTTTTTTTGTCTCTGCCCCAACCTGTGGATGTGCAGCCAATCATGAAATATCAATCCATGAATTCGGTATCGAATGAGGCTTGAATATACTCTACGAGTAGGCCTACAATGTCAGTCCAAATTCACAACATACATGTACAATGTACACCCAGGCAATAACAGAAATATTAATAATAGTCACATTTGTATAGCGCTTTTAATAATACTATGATTCTAACTGCTTTACATAGTAATGCTGGAAGTTCCAGCCTCTTAAAAATCTTCTTCCCCCCCCCCCCAAGAGATATGGGAAACTTGAATTAAATAATCACTATCATCAATAAAACACAAAATTCACTCAAAATCAATTGGACAACTTAACCTGGATTCTAATCTAGTTTAAGTCTGAAATTTATTGAGTGACACGCCTACTCATGCAGGCCACATCTAACCCTGTAAGTTGGGGCTTTGATCGGATCGGAAGATCGGAGGGCCCCCATCGCACCTGTGATCGGTATCGGCAAAAATAATCGTGCCAATTTTATTTTTTATGCCGAAAATGTTCAAGTCTTGGGCTATCAAATGCTTAAAAAAAATGCATAGCTGGGACTATTTTTTCATTTGGAGTTGTTGTAGTCCATGCGGGCCGCCATCTTGGATGATAATGTAAGCATGCTTTATAATCCAAGATGTCGGCCCACATGTTTTGCCTCTTCTCTTTAATAGACCAATATTATTAATTTCAAAGTCATAAAAAGGCATTAAATATCAACAAACATGGTTTACAACAACTCCAAATGACAAAATAATCCTAGCTATGCATTTTTTTAAAGCATTTGTGAAATGTTAGTGTTCCTTCAATATTTTCTGGTTAAACAACCTTGAAATAAGAAAATATAAACATCTTTTTCCTTAAGTGTCAAAATGAACCCTTTAACAAGTTAAAATACTCTAATTGTCCCCCAAAGTTGTTGTCTACATACCCAGTGAAGTCTCTACATTACAATGGTACCTCCCACATGGTTATTCAATACCTATAGTTAGAGGAAGTTTTGATGGAAAAATCACCAGGAAGTAAAATCTTTTTTAAAGGCTAGAGGTCAGGGGCTTCCAGGGCATAAAGCAGGCAGAAATGGCTCTAAAGTCTAAGATCCCAGGTTTAATGTCACAATTAAGAGTAAATTGAATAGAATTGTAAATGTTAGATATTTAAAATGGCTCTCTAAAATTTTGCAAAAAAAAAATGTACAGGTGTATAAGATTTACACTGATTCACTAATTTTGTTTTGACGTTTCGTGCAGAAAGGGAAAAGTCTCAAATACGAACCCCCCAGGCTTATGTCCGGCTAGATGCAAGGAAAATATCTATGCACCTATTTTTTCGCTAGCTCCAACTGCACAAGAGATCACTCGCCCCAACACTTGAAAAATATCCTTCCCCCTATTTGTCGGATCAGCTAATTAGGGAGGCGTGCGCTCTGCTCAGTCCAAACCATGGTTACATCGCATAACATCTGCACATAAATATGCATTCAGACCGCGTACGAACGAAACCTGGAAGTCAATTACACGTTACAGTGAATGAAGGTATGGCTAGCAGATCGCGCTCTCAAACCCGGAAGTGAATACACGTTATAGTCAATGGCAATATCGCGGAGACAACGCGTTTGGCTAAATTGAGCAAAACAACATAACTCTGCGTTTACGTCTTTTTCGTCGAGTCTGACCAAAATGATACAAATATTAGAGAGTTTTGGAGGGGCTGTATCTTTTAATAGAAACATTGGTGAGTCTTAAAATTTGAAATGCATTATTCTGATTAGATCTAAATTTGTATTCACACACAAAACAAAACAAAATGGTGAAAAATGATCCAAATTGAAGATTGAAAAATCGTCCAGACACCTTAACTTTAGTAAATTTTATGTTTCTCCCATTTGTTTTGTACATGTGTGTGAAAAGTCTGTACTTTTTTCATAGCATTAATGAGTGTATGAGGTCGATACCATAGTCCATACGATTTACGGTTAGACCTCATGCATTGTAGGAGTGGGCATACCATTTCCGGTTTAGACCTCATCATATCGTGCATGCATGCATTGAAGGACTCGATTGACGGCGGCCACAACTGCACAAAAATGAACACATGGGACTGTGATTTCTTTTTTGCACAAAATAAGTTCTCGATTACTTCGAATTTCTGTGCCGATTAAGGGGTCTACCGGTAATTATGAATCAAATTTTGGTACATATACCGACCCTACTAAACAAATCACAATGATTAACAGTATGAATTGGTAATTTGAAGTAAAAAATAGGGAAGTTATTACCTCATAATCTCGATGCGAAGTCGCAAGCCGGACGACCATGATCCTTGTTCACTGCACACATTTTTTACAACTTCCCTGTACTACTATACTGCACTGTACTACGTCACGTACATATTACATATGTACGTACGTCTACCAAAGAAATGGGGCGTGGCATGCATGGCATGACATGCCAGAGGCTGTGGGGGGGGGGGGGGGGGGGGGGGGGGGGGGGTGGCGCAGGAAGCCTATCCTCTAACTCCTCATCCCTCCTCTCCTCCTCTTTCTTTTTATTCTTCTTCTTGTTCTTCTTGTTCTTCTCCTTCTTGTTCTTGTTCTTCTTGTTCTTCTTGTTCTTCTTGTTCTTCTTCTTCTTGTTCTTCTTGTTCTTCTTGTTCTTCTTCTTCTTCTTCTTTTTCTTCTTGTTCTTCTTCTTGTTCTTCTTCTTCTTGTTCTTCTTGTTCTTCTTCTTGTTCTTCTTCTTCTTGTTCTTCTTCTTCTTCTTCTTCTTCTTCTTCTTCTTCTTCTTCTTCTTCTTCTTCAATGGGACACTGCCACCCCCTCGATCCCTGGCCCAATCGAGTGGCGAAAAGAGGAACAAAAAGCGAGAAAATTGAGAAAGGGAAAGAGTAAATTAAGGATAACACCTGGAGAACGGGGTCAGCTCGCTATTCATTAGGACAGCTATTCATAATTTGAGAAAAGGGTCATTAGTCAATGGGACTACTATAATCATAATCGAAAAAGAGGGTCGCTATTGATAATACAAAACTGGGGTCGTCACTCAACTTCCTTATTTTTTATTTATAACATTTCCGTTCTTTTCATAGTTTGTAAAGCTTAATATTCTCTTTTGTAATGATTCCACCGATTCATGGGTATGCCATTATTTCGGTACGTTCAGTAAGGCTGATTATCATGGCTTTACCATACCGGTAGTAGAGGGCCTAAAGTGTACATTATTTTGTTTCCCTTCTTGGTGGGCGGCTATCTAACAAATTCATGGAATTTAAAGTACGCATACTCAATAAAGACAGTTTAAAAAAATAAAACAAACATCATTCATGACTACAGGGCCTGTAGTCATGAATGATGTTTGTTGAGGGGATTCATCTTGTTAAAAATCTAAATAGCTGAATTTCCTTCCGATTACCTTCCCATATAGGACTTCTATTTTTTTTAAAACAAAATTGTTTGTTTTAAGACATCATAATATCAATAAAGGATGATTTGTTCTCATATTTCAACCACCCCCTACCCAGCCTGGGAGGACCTGCCCTACCATAGGCTCATACATTACCACGCATGCAAGCACGGTGGATGCTTGGGAGGGGGAACGTCTCCCAATAATTTTTGTTAGGGGTCGGAGCGTACCCCTTGAAATGAAAAACTGATTGAAAATAATGAGTTAAAATCTGCGACACCCTACATATGCCCGAGGAAGTAAGTAAATGAATGAAATCTGCTCCCTCGCATTCTAAACTTGAACTTCAGAACATTGTAAAATACAGCTGTTATTATTAACCATGGTAAATACATAGCCATATCTTCTAGTTTGTCCTTACAGGAGATATAGAGATGTGTTATCGTTTACCACGGCATGGAGGCTTGCGTACGCCCCCTTGAAAGTGTTCAAAGGGTTGCCCCCTTCCACTTTCGAAATTTCGGGAATTTGTCAGAAAATAGATAGAGTGAATGACTTAAACACTAAGAAGTAGTAAGACTTTGATTTGCCTGTGTAATCGAAGTACTATACTGCAAACAACAAACGCTAAGAAGTAGTAGATATATGTATTAAAGCCCCACTGCACTACTGATTGCTACTTGCGCAAACAATGCCTAATTGGTGACCATTGGTCCCCCATGATCCTTTATTTCTTATGTTAATTGAGAGCTTATTTGATGAGATAACCACCTGTCAGTGACCATGCAGGGGGGTCTAATCCCTCCTGGCCAAACTATTGCGGTGGGGATTTAAAATGAGACTTTGAATTGCCTATGTGATCAAAGTACTCTAATACAAAAAAATATCACTCGCTTGCTACGCGAACTCGCAAAATAAAATATGTATTATTGATTTATTACTCATAATCATATTATACGCTGATAAAATGGAAAGTTAATGGCTAGGGGGGGGGGGGGGGAGGGGGTCGTGGATGATACCTCTTGCTGGCTCAGCCCCCCCCCCAATTTTGCTGTGCTCATTACGCAGGGGCGGATCCAGCCGGCGGCAAGGGGGGGGGGGGGGGCTAAATCTTGAGAAAATATTTATCGGCGAATCAGCCAGTCGGCGAACGGCAGTTGATAATGCATGATTACAATAAATAGAGAGAGAGAGAGAGAGAGAGAGAACTACCATCATTATGCAATGGTTCAGGGTTTGTGTAATGTACATTTGAAACCATTTCTTAGCGTCTCAACCCTAATAAAATAGCGAAACTATTTTTGAGGGAAAGCATTATACTGAACTGAATAAAGAATAATAACTTGATATTGGCTCATACTAATACTGATTCGGGCTAAAGACAATGAGGTATCGGCACAGTAAGATCGGGTACTTTTATAGAGGTATTCCAAAATGACATTCTGATAACCAACATTTTGTTCTGTATTCATATGCAGGCGCGTAGGCAGACGGGGGGGGGGGGGGCAAGTTAACCCCCCCCCCCCCCCTCTTGTTGTGAAATATTAAATAAAAATATTGTTGTGCTGAAGGGTGAATTCCCAGGTTGGTATCCGGAAGTTGGAGAAGAATAATTTTCGCATCGTCTATCTGAATTATTTTTTGTTCTGTATTCATATGCAGGCGCGTACGCAGACAAAGGGGGGGGGGGGCAGTTAACCTACCCCTCAATTTTTTTAATGTGTGGGTATCGGAGGATACCCCCCCCCCCCCTCACTTGTTGTGAAATATTAAATAGAAATATTGTTGTGCTGAAGGGTGAAAAAACTGACCTTACCCCCCCCCCCCCCCCCCCCCCCCCCCACTGAACGAAATATCGGTCGGCCTAATTTTCCAATTTTCGGGGGGAGAAAAATGTGCTCTTACCCTCTCCCCCCCCCCCCCCTCCCCCCGCTTATTGCAAAATTTTCCGCGCGATTTTCACATTTTAACCCCCCCCCCCCCTTGAAAAAATCCTGCGTACTCTACTGTTCATGACTTGTGTATGTACGCATAATACGACAGATCTTTATGATTTCTTAACGTGACATAGCTTCTTCTCCCCCTGCAAACGAAACAAAAACAAGGTTGTTTAATAAAAAGGATCATGCGACAAATAATCATTGTGATTCAAATTGATGCAAAGATTTTTTTGTTGAAAAAGCAATGCTTTTCACCAGAATGTTCTTTGTAAAACGACTTTTATAAATCTCAGCCACGCAATTCTGCCACTGCGCTGTAAGATAAGGAGCAGTGTATTCTTTAATGAGTATTTTAAATTGAATGGAACGTCTCAACTCAGTAAGCATGGCTGAGATTTGTGAAAAGTTGTTTTTACAAAGAAGATTCTGTTGAATACCAGTGCTTATTCAAACAAATATTTGCATCAATTTGAATCACAAGCATTATTTGTCGCTTTTATTGACCTTGTTTTCTTTCTCGTTTGCAAGGGGTAAATAAGCTATGTCACGTTAAAGACATCATAAAGATCAGTGTCTTATGCGTATATATTATAAACACAGGCCCCGTGGAATGTTTATCAAAGTGGGGGGGGGGGGGCTAAAGTATTTACGATCTGGTAGAGGGTAACGAGCGAATCGAGCAGAGCGTAAATTGGTGTGGGGGTTCGGGGGGGGGGGGGCAGAGCCCCCGAAAGCTCAGGGGTTTCATGCATTTTAATACGGTCAGAGAAGCACAAATATTTTAATGCCGCATTTGTCACACATGGCAGGTCACAATATTTGTGTTGAATGACGTAAATCATGGTCTGAAGCAATATCTAATTCAATTGAGACACCTGCTAAAGACTAAACATTTTTAAGTTGACCATTTATTTTCATAAGTACATTTTATAGGGGAAAATAACGTCCTGGACTCACCCAGCCCCCCCCCCCCCCCCACCCTCCCTACGTAGGACGCAACAAAAAAAAATCCAAGGTTGGTATCCGGAAGTTGGGGAAGAATCATTTTCGCATCGTCTACTGGTCATAATTTCAATGATTTACACGTCTATCCAATCTGTCTATATATTGTAACAGTTACGACCCATCATTGTGACCAGGGGCGGATCCAACCGGCGGCAAGGGGGGGGGGGGGTTAGGGGGACCTGTTTTTAGTTTTTTTAAGTTTTTAAAAAAAAGCACAATTTACGTTATATCCTATTTTTTACCGTTTTGGGGGGCTAGAGGGGGGGGGGGGGGGCGGTAGAATCGGCCCGTGGATCCGCGCCTGTCATTACGTACGTCACTGGTTGTACTGACAAATTATTCTTTTATCTTGCCTGGGGGATAGGGAAACCGATTGCCCTCTCATTAGTGTACAGATTAAAATCATGATGGGGGTAATGTATGCCATTTATGCTCAACATGATGAAACTCTTGTAAAAACTATTGAAGAATTTGATAGGGGTGAATGCCACGCGCATTGAATAAAATTAAATATGTTTTTTTGTTATCAATGGTATATTTCTCTTTATGAGTTTGAAGTAATAAACTTTTGTATTATACATTTGAAAGTTGGATATTACACACATTATGCATGATGCAATGAAACACAAAACTGTGATTTACTGGGGTTATACAAAATACAGATATTTCAAAAAACAATTCTACACCATTAATCTGTCCATTTAAACACTTTTACCTTGTCATCATCTGATGGATGAGTAATTTTAGATTATCCCCATTATGAGTTGATGTTTTCATACAGGGTGCGCATTTTGAGTGGAAAACACACTATACAAAAAGTCACGTACGTCTATTCAGTGCAAATGTACAGTAAATAATAATAATAATCATAATCATACAGCATTTGTTATGCGCCATCGACGTAGTAAACTATTCTGGGGCGCAGAGGGATATAGTAACTGTGGAGCCAGACCATACAT